TTTTTGTTAAATGTGAGCCAAAATCATCACAATTAAAAGAACTAAAGACTTAAACTACTTCAGTCTGTGTGCATTGAATTTATTTAATACACGAGTTTCACAATTTGAGTTGAATTACTGAAATAAATGAACTTTTCCACGACATTCTAATTTATTGAGATGCACCTGTATATTTGCCAAGTAGCAATCGTTCATTTCTTATGTGGCAAAAACACATTCTAAGTATATAATATTTTCTAATAATTAATATTGGCTTTTTATCTTTGTCTTCTTTTCAAGATTCTCCACAGCATCTTCTTTTTAGGGATCATTCATAAGGACAGTCTCACTCCCGAAGACATTATACCTGAAAAGATTGCTGAGATTACAAGACAGGAATTTCCAGAACCATTTAAGAAATACAAGAGTCATCTACCTAAGCGGACACCTTTCTCAATACTGTTAGACATAGTAAGAATCATATTAGGTTATGCATTTATTTTTTGTGTGAATTATAAGTATATAAAATATGTCCTCAAAAAGTTACATTTACTGCAGCAATCATGAATAAACACATTGCAAATAAATGTTTACTTGTTAAATATTATTCTTATTTTACTGTTTTTAGATGCAGCTTACATATGGCACAAAAGACAAAGTACTGAAGGAGCTTTGCATTCTCATGGAAAAGCTGAAATTCCCTTATCCTCTGGACAAACCAGCAAACAAAAACCAGCGCTACTACACACTGGAGTCCACCGTCATTTGTGTGTGCTCTAATAGCCAACGCACATCAGATGAATATTTTGGTGCTTCTCTGGGTTGCAGGACAAGAGGGGCCAAAAGCATTATGATATATTCATCATGTATAAATACATGGCACGAGCATGTGTCATATGCAGTAATGTCATTCGAACATCAGCCAGAAGGTGACAGCTTGCAATTTCATGAGTCTCTGCGATGCCAGGCATACTTCAGGGATTGGAAAGACAACACTTACAAGGAAAGACAGCCATGTATGAACTGTAAACGGCTTTTCAGTCTGTCAGCAGGTACAGAACAGGAACATTATCCTTATGGCAATTGTGCAGAGACAGAGTGCTTGAGCAAACTCCTGCTTAATGATCAGTTCATGCGAGAGAATATCAAAATCAGTCATTTTACTCCTGACAAAATTAAAATGTTAAAAGACTGTACCAGGGAACGCTTGCGAAAACTGCTTGCTTCAATACCTTCTCTCAGCAATATGAATAACGATGACCTTCCATGTTTTTAACCTGCTCTCTTAAATATTGTCACCAGCTAGAGCAAAAAGGGTTTCACAGACTGATTCCATCTTTTCCACAAATAACTTTTTATTGTCTAGCTCTAAAGCCCTATATAACCAACTCAAGTCCCACATAGTGAAAAAGATTTGTATGTGGATTCGTTGCTGATCCTCTACCTACAAAAACTTTTTTGGTCACACTTTACAATAAGGTCTCATTTGTTACCATTAGTTAAACCAGTGCTCAAAGTGGGCCGGTGTTTCGGTGAATTCAATTCCCCCGTTTCCCCTTCGGCGCGCATGTGTGAAATCACGACATCATGATATCAAGAGCAGCGGAAAATGTGTGCTTTATTATCTCAAGCATCAGTTTATTGTGTTATTTCCTACTTTCCATCAACATAAGGTATATTTCATGTTGTTTTTCAAATACATAAGTAAAATTCTAAAGCATAGAATGTATTGTTTGCAGAGGTTTTATAGCTCAGTCGTTCATGGGTTACTGCTAGCTTTACCTTTGAGAAACTCTGTATAACAGCTAATGTGTTAAGTTTAATAAATGAATTTCGGCGATCGTTTACATTATTATATTATTGTTATATTGTTGTTGTTGGTGTGTGTTGGTTTTGTCACACTTATGTTTTCCATAAATAAACCATATTGCACTGCACAATACTGTGCTGTTGTTGTTATTATTATTATTATAAATAATGCGGCGAAGGGGAAACGGGAACTGAATTCACCGGAAAAACTAGATCGGGGCGTTACCTGATTGGCTGACGTCATAGTGACGGTAGGTTTAGGGGCGGGGTTAGGTAAGGTTGATCATTTCATTGCATCGTTTAGAAACACCCATCAGTTTGAAAACACCCACAACGTCAGAAACACACACTTTTGCTCTGCAGAGACCTCGTGTTGCCAGACGTACAATAATTATCGTATCTGTATGATAATTTTGACCTCTGTATGATGTACGATCAATAATGAAAAAAATCCCATAATGTACGATAATTTCAGAATTTCTGAACTAGTTTTTTCCAAAGTCAACCTCATCAAAACAAAGCCACAAAATCGGCTCATTACAGACACTCTGAATGGGTTTAAACCGGTAAACTCCTGGAAAGTCCAAGGATTCAAACAGTAACCGAATGAATTCAGACAGTAATAAGTTCAAAACAGTGCTAATGCAGAGAAAACACGGCTGATTTCATCAGAGATGGCGGAGAGAATAGTGACTTACGTCCAGATGGCACTAAATTATTCTTTACAGCATGTATTTGGCTTAAAAGCTAGAGTGTTTTGTACTGGATGCTGGCTGAAGGTGTTTTATATTGTGTGGTGGTCAGAGGTTTAGTGATTTTTAATGATTTTTTAAAAAAGTGCATGATTAATAAAGGTATGTATAAGTTTTGTTATTTCAAAACATCACATGGACTTGAATGTTGCCATTGTATCTAAAACAGTGCAATATATCACTGTATCATTTAGTTATAATCATCTACTGTGAGTGAACAAGTTTCACTGGTAGAGCAAGGTTCAGTCAGAATTCCCACCTTCCTCATTGATTACATGAATACACGGAACACATTTTATAACCCCATATTCATACAGTTCAAACATGTTATAACTGGTTTGGTACATGGTGTGCATTTTGATCTTGACACAGAGCACAGCACAAGACACACCTTGTTTTATGGCTTAACCTGAATGTCTTCCCATGTCTTTTCCACTCATGCAATGATCACTGGATATTCTAAGCTGTTCATTGCAATTGTTGAAATAAATAATGTTATTGTATAAAGTTTTTTTTTTCCCCCTGTATTTTATAGTAGAGAATTAATAGGAAAGTTGAGGGAGGGAATGAGATCAGTGCATGACTAACATCCTTCGAGTCAATCTGCATCACCCACTGCATTAAAAATATCAAGACACGACAAGCCCAAATAAAATTTTGACAACTTGTCCAATCTTGTAGTTTATGAAAAACGCCTTGCCCTGAGAAGCCAGTTTAACCTTTCTATTAAAATATATGTCAATTACATATCCATCTGAATGTACGCTATAGTGTGGTTTTATTGTGTCCACAAGTTTATCCAACAGCATCATATGGAATTTTAATTTGGAGGATAGAATTCATAGAAAGAAAAAAAAAAGTACTACAGTCACTACAATAGACCCAATAATATGCCTGTAGCCTTTCCCCCATGTCATAAATATCTAGAATTATTAGCTCTAATATATATTATTTTAACATAACCTTTAAAAAAACATACTGGTGATTTGACATATCAAACCAAACACTACATATTGCTGTCTTATATGAACAGAAATTATTTATTTATTTTTGGTTGATGTCTTTGAACATATTCTTCTTTGCTTGGAATAAATAATGTTTTTTGAATGTGAAGAAACATTGTAAAACTAATGTGGCCATACTTCTCAACAGAACAACAGCATAGCCACAATGGGTGTAGGAAATCGCTTTCTCACCTGTTCAGACAAGCTATGTTTAAGCAACCGGTGACGTCAATGAAATTTTGCATGCGTTGCTGGATGGAAAAATACTAACACATGCGCACAAGTGCCACTGCCAGTGCTTTGTCACCTGTCACGAGCTCCACCTACGTACAACTGCTTGGAAAACAACCACACCTCTAGGTGTTTTCCATGTAACCACCCATAGACTTTGTATTGCAAGACCAACCACTAAAAGATTGCCCAGTGACAGAAGTTGGGTAAGTAAGGTTTTTTTAAACGTCTAAACAAGGCCTAAAAAATTGGAGTAATCTGTGAGGTTAAATTGAAAATCGAAGTTCTTGGGAACCTAGTACAAATATCTACACTGTAAAATGTACTAATATACAGTTGTTACTTAAAGGAGCTATTTATGCCTGATCTAACTCAGATCAAAAAAAAAATGGTTTAACCTAATGGAATTGGATTGATTCATAGTCATATTGAATAATATTTTAGTCTTGAATAAAACCAGTTATTTTAGCTGTTGCCATATAAACAGTTTTTTTTACGTTACATGTCAGTGTATGATCTTTGTCTGTCTTTATTTGTAAATATTCTATGTATTCTTTTATGAAAACCTTTGGAAAAAATTATTTACCATTTTAGGCAACCTTTAAGTGTAGTTGTAAAAAAATCAAATAATATGTAACAGTGTTCACACTGTCCCTAGTGACCAGTCTGTGAGGAAGAACCGGTTATGATGTTTGCTGGGAAACTGCAGAGGAGAGAAAAAAAACAATGCTCTGATATAGTTTACATTTACATTTATTCATTTAGCAGACGTGACTTACCGAAGCATGCCGAATCATAAAGAGACAAATGAACACAGAAAGTGCTCGTAATACAACGTTTCAGACGTTGTTCAGATTAGTACAAGATAGACCGGGAGGGATTACGGAAAAAGAAAGAAACGTTTTTTTATTTTATTTATTTTATTTATTTTTTCATTGGTGCAGAGTGAATGATCAGCAATCAAGAGCATGCAACAGAAGTGCGCTTTATCTCTCTGTTTACCGTCAGTTAACGTTAGTAATTCAGTGTGTGCCTTGTTTTACTTTATTTGCTATCGACATATCCGACTGATGTACAAACTTTCCAGCAATGTCTGCGCGCTCAATTGCTTATCAGCTCGCGCACACCACCAGCTATAAAGGCATGAAGATTTCATTTGTTTAATATTCGATACATTTACTTCATAGAGATCCTTCTCTGATATATTCTGCTGTCTGTTTGCTATGTTGTCGGTGCTTCTTTGTCACAAGCACTGAACTGTGCTTTGGAGCATTTTAATGAGTGTGAGTACGAGTACAGGACATAGACTGTAAAAAAGATGGCCGACGCTCCTTCTCTCTCTTCAGTGTCCCAATACGGCACTGACGTCTTGCGCTGATGCGAGACCCGAGTCTGCGCAGTAGTGACTAGTGAGCGTGAGTCAATCGCAAGCACATGGTCCTGAACCTTTTTTAAGTAGCCTGACTGCTAAACAGTTTTGGAAAATGTAGAAATAAAAGTTCCAATCTCCCCCGAAGAACCCGAACAAGTCTGTTAGCGCTTCAGTGAATACTTCGCTCAGAGAAGCTGTCAGTCACAGCTGTCAATCATAACGTAACACCCCCGTTTTTATAGCATCAAATAACTAAATAAAACCACATTTATTTATGAAACGAACTCTTGAACTTACATCAGCATGATAAATAAATGATAATCGCCACCGGGATCTGTATCAGTGCATCCCTAGTTTTTGTTAGCATGATTTTTCGCAACATGTCAAGGTTAAAAATAATGTTGTTAGATGTCATGACTTATTTATGTCAAACAGTTTATGTGCTTGTATATGATTTTGTTGTTGCTATTGTTTCTATTATTGCAGGACTGTGCCCATCTTTCTCGTTCACTGTGCCCATCCCCGCCCTCTCTGCCAGGTAATGTTTATATTTCCAATTATTTGTAGTCTGATACAACTCTAGGCATTTTGTTTAATGTTGATCATGTTGAATAGTTGCTAAAGAAATTGTATATGCAATTAAAATTTTGTGTAAAGTAATATTTTATATACTTTCTTATATCATACATGAGTGAAATGTTGGCCTAATAAATTAGGTAAACACAAAGAGCAATTGGGCAAGGCTAAGATTTATTGATGTGATGAAAATGTATTATTGTCAATTTTACTTTGTTTTTTTGTTTTTTTTACCATGCAGCTCCACTTTTCAGCCTTGAAAACACAAGTTGAACCATGATAACCAAGTAAGTGTATTTTCATATAAATATCACACAAAACAAAAGCAATGTGTACAATTGCACCATCAGTATTGATTTGAAGGACAGCGAGACCACAAGCTAACTCTAATCAGTGTTTAAAAACAGTTTTTTTTGTTTTGTGTTCTCCTTGCCATATCCTACTTTTTGCTATAATGAGATGCTTATGGAATTCAGAAGTATAAAACCTTCTTGGTTCTCTTATTATTTTTATTTTATGGCTATAACCTGCAATTCAAAATCAACAAAGATAATAAAAGCAAAGAAAAATAAAGTATCAAGAAGCATTAACATCAGTATACAGTATATCATGAATATTCAAATATGTCTGTTCTAAAATGTCATCCCACCCTTTTTCCATTAGATCCCTAAAAAGATTCAAGAAGAGATTTCTGTCATTCATTAAAGAAGGTAAGAAAGCACAAGTTAAAATTGCTTCTGCTTGGATGAACTGTTACATGCCCTCTGCTTCACCGGCATTCAATTTTTCTCTGAAAATCTCATTAAGATAAGTCTGAGGAAAGACAGTATATGCATTAATATCACTGCAAACGTGACACTGCTTGTAACACAAGGATGGCTGTGATTGCAAGCTGCCGCTACCCTCGATGTCTGAAGCTGTAACAGATTGTCTGCTGTTCACTGACAGACATACTGCGTTAAAGAAAGAATCGCCCGTGATCGACTACAATGTTGTCATGTTTTGGAAACTCCCATTTTGTGGTAATGGGACTGTGTAGAGCACGTGTGCAAATACTGAAAGCAGATCTTGACCAGGAACAAGATCTGCGATGTTTGCACAGAACGTCTATACAGAGTATTACTGTAAAGTGTGAGAGATGCCAAAACATGCCTCTTACGTTTGGAAGAAGCTGAGATCGCAGCAGATCGTGGCTCGAGAAGATGCGTCCCACCTGGATAACACCTGGACAAATGTGAGTTTCTCCCAAAAATATCTCCATAAAGTGACAAAGACACTTTTTGTGGAACCAAATGGCTCCAGGAACGATTGAAGAAAGGTGACCCTAAGTACACTTAATATAAATGACTGGCGTCAGAAACACACAAAGCATCATATTCAGTGGTATTATCTCTCAATGTCTGCTAAAGTGTATTGATATGGAACAGTACACACTTCTTCCTTTAGCTGAAGTGATTTGATCAGAGCAGCTACATCAGGTGCTGCAGCAAAACCACATTATCCAACAAACAATGACCTTCTGACATTTCTGCTTAACTTTGTGCACATTGCCTGTGAATACTTTAAAGTGGGACACACTTCTTTCAGTAAAAAAGAAAACACGTGATGATAAATGAGAGGCATGTCATGCTGAACTTGGGTAAGTGAAATACAATTATGTAAATTGTATTGTAAATTGTGTAATCAGATTTTTTTTTGTTTTTTTTGTTTTATGCAGCCATGAGACAGTCTAATTTACCAACAGTGCATTGGAAAACTGAAAAGGTGTATTATTATTAAATTAGAGTCACGATAATGATAAACAATGTATTTCAGATTCCATTGTAAGGAAGAAAGAAAGTCAAGAGTAAAGGAATGATAGGTCAGTGCAGCAACCAGTGAACCAGTGAACTGGAATCTAAGAGTGTAAATTTAATAAGATAAGCTTTATTATGCATTTTATAAATTACATGTCAGAAATTTGTTATATTCATAATGGACTTTTCAGATATGTATTTACAGGAATTAGATTTTTCTTTCACAGTTATCTCATGGTAGCAAGCAGAATGATGTACAGTGTTGCTAAAGCAACAAATACAAAATAATGTAGCAACCATGTTCAGCCAAATAAGAAAAAGTAAAACAAAGAAATACAGTTGCTGTCCATATTTTGCTGCTAGTGTGGATTCTGTATATTAGTGAATTTGTAGAACTGAATGTTTTTGTGCAGAACACAATGTTTTATGAATGTTTCATATTTTGGTAAAAACCCCGGACAAATGAAAATAAATGGTTTATGTAGACCACGGTGCTCTGTATTCTTCTCTACTGTCTACATTGTTCTAAAATGATCAAGACTGATCATCAGTGAATATCTAGTCTCAGCCTCAGACGTCACATTCACGGACCGCTGGCTGAACGTCTGATGCATACGGCACACAAAATTGGAAACACTTCAGGAGTTTCGAAGTCGTCATCGGATTGGTTGAATTATACAGGATTTCCGGGAGACGTGTGTGTCGTGTTCTTTAACGTTCCGCCTGGAAACAAAGATGCCGTGATGCCAAACCCTCTCATGTTAGAAGAAAGCTGTTGTGTTTACAACTGTGATGACGAGCGCTTATCAGGATCAACTAAACGCTGGATTTTCAAAAGTATGTTAAATATTTGCGGCATATAATCTTTAAAACACGTTCAAGAGTTTTACACACACGTCTGTTATTGTGGGGACATTTCCACGCCCCTAAACATGACGTGGCACAAAACGAAATGTGATTGGTTGATTTATCTGTCAGTCTGGCCTCTTGGGCAGGCCTTGCCATTCAAAGCGGCCAAGGTTCCCCGACCTTATGCCATCAGTCTGGCTACGTGAGACTAGTGAATATTCAATATCACCCTTGAACATACTCATACAATAAAGTAGTAGAACTGTGTTCAGATTTTAAAAACTGTAACTGTAAAACCAACCTATTCTCACTACCAAGGCATCAAAAACTGAAGCATGGTCAAGCGCCTTCAGCGTCACTACCGTATATGGATGAACTGGGAACTCCATTGCTTTCAATGGGAAACCTTTGGCAAAATGAAGTGTTTTGAAAATGTAAAAATGCAGAAAGTTTTCTGTGATGGTAGGTTTAGTGGTAGGGTTAGTATAGGGGGATAGAAGATACAGTTTATACAGTATAAAAACCATTACACATATGGAGAGTCCCCAAACCATGGGGCAACATTATTTCTGCAAACCAAATATTGATCATAACCCATGTGAATGTAGCTTATGCTTAATAACATTGTTCGCAATGTTCAACGTGTGTCTGGAATAGTCAACTGAGTAATGAACAATTAGCTTTTTTTTTAAGACAGCTAATTGACATAGCATGAAATAAACCATGCAACCAATGAAAACGTCTCGGTTACTTGTGTAACCCTCGTTCCCTGAAGGAGGGAACGGAGACGTTACGTCAGTCGTGACTGACGAATTGGGATCTCGCCCGAGAGCCCAATCACCTTCGAGTGTTAACTAAACAAGCCAATGACAGTTGGCGTGCGTGTTTCGCCACGCGCACCCCGCCCCGCAGCGCGGGTATAAAAGGAGAGCACGCACGCAAATCAGTTTTTCGCTGAGGAGCCGAGACTACGTGCCCCAGCCGTACAGCGGTGGTACAGCAACTGTGGCGACTGGACGTAACGTCTCCGTTCCCTCCTTCAGGGAACGAGGGTTACACA